CCGTTAATTGTTGTATGGAATCACAACGGCAATAACAACTTAAGTGCAATTCGCTACCTACCTACCCGTTTACCTGTATCGAACAATCTGAATACATTGCGTTCATAAATAGAAAAAGACTTCCATTTGCATCCTACATATGTAGATATCTTTCGCTAACTTTAACAATATTCACCACGTGTCGATAAAATATACCCCGTTTTATAATTGTATACGCTACCGTTAGACGGGTTTGCGGCTTTCAGATAGTTAGATGTCGAATTCTACTAGCCGGAAGCTCAATTGGCTAAACTGATTCCGGAGAGATGTAGGACTCAATGCTATGTCAGAACCGTGCGCACGTAACAAGCCGCCGCAAATACCCTGCGCTATAGGCCCAGTTGCGAAACTCTCCTCAAAATCTAACGATGCGAAACCGCCTTCGATTGGCCTGTTTAGTTCAGGTCATTGAAGATGCTGTGACTATAGGCTGACTTTGCAGCCAAATCATATAACTCCACCGGTATAGAGATAGAGCTATACGATAAGCCGCAAGAGCCATGGCTGACGTAGCTGTTTGAATTATTCAGCGGAATAAATGTTCCTAATACATGAGAAACGCGTGCGTATTATTTTCGTCGAAGTTTTTCTATAAAGTTTTAAGTTCACAAACATAGAAGTCCTGCATTCAGAAAGATTCATTTAGTTAGTTCGTGGAGCGCCGCAGTACTTTTCGTACGCACATATATACACACATATATATAACACTAAGACCTATACACTTATAATGCGTTCTTCCTGCAGTTCGGATAATAAACCTTCAAAGGTTATAACTGTGCTGCTCTGTCTCTACACTCCGATATTCATTATAATTGGTCTCAGCTGAAATTGAATTACTAGTACCGACATCGTGTTCGGTGATGTGTTTCCTCGGTCACACGAGATCCCTGAGTCTAAAAGAAGCCAGGTGAAGCTAGGAACTGACAGATCTACTTGTCGAAATCGAACGCTGTAGCCTTCAACGGCATGAAGAGCGTTGATTAGAAAAATTACCCTTTAACTTTGGCTAAACTAGCATGCGAGGGCCGGGTCAACGTCAGGTCCTATACTGCGATGTAAAATGGGATGCGCTTCGTGTGGCCTATTTCATGCACAATATGGTCACATTCGTATCATATTTATTAGTGTGTGTTACCCGTGTAGCGGTTGGGTTGCAGTTCGACTGTGAAGTTGCTGGAATGATTAACGACCTTTCGAGAAAGTGCGGTAAAGGCGCCATTCTCTACTGATTCAAAGAATATCCTCGTGCTTGGTATGGCAGATTCTACAGCAAACTACGTTTACACGTTTCTCTGTGCCCAGCTCTTTGATTTTATACAGCACCATTTGAAAAAACCTGACAGTCGCCAGTTAGTACCCGCAAATTTGCGTGAAGACCTACATTTTGAGATACATTCTAGGTCTACATCACATAGCAAAAAATCTACTGGCTAATGGCCTCTTTTGCACCCCGCTACTGCTCGAACGTATGAGTTTACGTTTTTGATTCATCGACTTCAAAGCCTTCTCTGAGCATCATCAAAAATGGAAATAGACGTTTGCTGAGGTCAATATGAAAGCGATAAAAGGTCACGTATGAAAGGACTTAAGTTGAAGCGTCACGTTGCCACTTATTTTGCTATTCATTAAAATTTTCTCAAAAAAATGTTGTGCAGTCGCGAGCTTACATAAGCCCAGTTGAGAATGTGTTTGTAATGGATGTTGAAAATGAGGCATTGAGATATATATATTATATTATTTCTGCCAGAGAGCCTACCGCATTGAAACAAGCTTCGCCATAATCTGTATATATGTTGGTTGTGAATATGTATCTTTTTTAAATTTGAAATGGTTTTACAACATCAACCTGGCGAGTGAACAATCGTTGTAATCCAGTGGCATATTGCGCAGAAGACAACGATCATACTTTGTTGTCTTATATAATTTAATCGACTACCAGTAAAAATAAATAAATGGCAATCGTAAGTAGATATCTAGAGATTATTTTGCAAAAAGAGTATTTCAAACCTTTTTTCCCCGGCTAGTTCCTTAATTAATTGATGATAAATTCCTGCCACCTGAAAAACGGAAGTTCTTGTTTTCTCGCGCTAATCACCTAAGCAATAAAAATATTCACCTCATAACCTGCTTTTTTTTATGAAAGAGTCCTTTTTTCCTAGTTGTGTCCATCTCGTAAAATCTAACGAAGTTGCATGGTCGAAAAACAAAAAAATAAACTAAAGAGAGCTCTCTTTGGGCTAAGTTATTAATATGAAATAGCGATATTAATACGATGCACGAAAAGGGGACATTTCAGAGTTAAAAATGCTTGTTTTTGCGGTTGTTCTTAAAGAAAAATTTAAATACTAGATATACATGACACAAAAGTTTAAATCATTTTATTAAAAAAGCAATCTTCTTTATAGATAGTGAAAAACTTAATAGGCCAGTGAAGAAAAACATATTTAAATGGCCAGGTCATTAGGCTATGTCAACTGGTATTCTCTACTGTGTGATACCGAATCTTAAAGCACAAACAGAAAATATTTCTCATATTCTCCAATTGTACCTGCTCTTTCAGGCCAAACATAACCTTAGCAATTTCGTTGTATGAACAAACATTTTAGATTTTGCACACAAAAAGAATCTGTACTGTTCAGACTTACCCGATATGCGCTACGATTCTGGTTTAAAAGTTCTGCCCAATAACATATGGCTACTATTGGTGTGATAAAAATTCCTGTAGAAGTAGTTATTCGCAAAAATTCTGTCTCTACGAATATAATCTTAATGTAAGTGTCAACCAATATTTCGAAATCCAGCAATGATATTCTAGTCTAACCATTTTCAATAAATATTTAGCTCAATCAAATATCCTTGGGGTAATTCGCTTTGAGTATTTGACCCATTAACTTTCGCATTAGACTTCACATTCAATTACAGACGCTCAGTATTGCGCAAACACTTAAGTTTAAACCCTTTATTTATCTATCGATTTGATTATTGTACAGTTTTTAGTATTTATTTTAACTCGGTGTTGCGTCCTTTTTACCGTCACTGGCGATGGCAATTGCTTTACCTACGAGCATTTTTTTTTTTGTTGGTCGTTACCTGTGGTAGTAATAGTATTAGTAATAATCGTCGTTGTAAGAGTGCGAACCGTGGTAATCTACTACCTGCCCCCAATACCGTCTGCATCAATCACCTCTACCGCAAGGGCTCTTCCGCGCACAACGGTCAGTTTCGCCACCGCCGCTCATCGAAGTAGCGTGCAGCCGGCGGAGAACTGCGCTAAGCGACAGTTTCTACTGAGCGCGAAACGTTGCCGACCGGCTTCAACAAACGCCATGGGACTGGCGTTGTGAACAGCTCATCCAATGCGTGCCTCATAGCTGAGCTCGCTGCTGATACAGAAACAGAAAAAAAAAGGGAAAAGATCGTTTCCCATCGCTACGCATACAAATGCCCTGCCCGACAAAACAATGTTTGTTTTTGAAGGAGAGGTGCACATTAGTAACAGAACGATCACAGTTCTGTTTTAGCAGGCTCGTTTGACTCGCGCTATCTTTGACCAGCTTACCCCGAACTGCTCTCTCTTACCGTGTAAAAGTTGCCAACAACCGTGCTCCCCTAACAACGCAAGAGAAAATAGAGAGCATAACTTTCGCCAATAAATTAGAGTAGTTTAAGGTGTCAATCTAACCTACTTTACTGAGGTGACTTCGTGCGCGAACAGTGCATTTAAGTAAATATTCGTCATTCTCTGTGTGCTACCATAAGTGCTACACGTGTTTGTAGTTTTTCCAGTTATTGGTATTGGTAAGTTTGTACAGATTTCAGATCGTTGCTTTGTTCATCTGACCATTACAACAGCAGAACAGACCGGATTTTTCTACTTCTGATTTGTTGGAATCAGTGTCTTGACGCCAGGTAAGAAGCGTCTATTTTTTTCGTCAGAAAGCATTAAAAGCTATGGAATGTCCATGCTTTTAGATGTGTGTGTGTGCGTAAAGGCGAAATTACCAGGTCCGTTCATTCTCTGTGTAATTCCTACTTGCTCCTAAGAGAGTGGGCAAGGTCACGTACAAATAGAACAGGATCGTCGTTGAGAAATTTGCCGCGATCACTAAATTTACGTCGACCTGTCAATGCAAGACCGGCCACTGGTGGCCAACAACTGTACAGGGAGGCCTAATGCTTCTGAGTACAAACTGGCACAGCAAACATGTAACATGGTTGTACGGCAAAGAAAGCCAGTTTAGTGGTCGGCCAGTGATAACTTCGAGAGACGAACAGATTTCACTCGCAAAGAACACCTACACAGCTTGCAGTTGTTGACGGAATTTCAAACGAAAGATATGTTGGCAATTATTATCTTGCCTCGTTGTATGTATCCACTAGCCCGATGTCAACATTAGCTAAGGGCATACGCTTCATTACCAAGGTGATTTTTTTAATGTTACTGTTCTGTGCAGATTTTCTTTGATAGTCTTAAACGTATGAAAACTTCATAATGTTTGATTTCCAAGAAGGCCTATACACATCTGCTTCTCTCTACTGATTACCTATCATAACTAAATAAAAGTCAATCTCCTAGTGAAGCTATGGTGAGGTCGTAATTAGTCAGAACACTGAAACTACGGACCGCGTAAATCTCACATCAGTGCTAAACGGAAAGTGACTTACTCGTCCGGTATATTTTACTTTTGATATTAAATTATTAAGCAGCGAAAAGTTCTTCTAAAGGAAAAACCTCAAATGAAGTGTTTGGCTTTTTCGCATCGTATCTTAAATAACCTAGCAAACAGTTCTCTACGTTATCCAAGCCCCAAACTTACTCTGCTCACTTTACCAACTAAGGGGTTACCGCTTAATTTCTAGAGGGCAGCTGGACGTATGACAACATAATGAAGACCCTGCATCTAGTGCTATCAATCATTGTTGAAGAGTGTAATCAACAAACATTTGCCGGTTATCGGACTTATTCTATTTCAATAGTTTCTATTGAAATAAGCTTTAATAGAAGTATCGTTGTCTTCTACCTTTATTGGATTCACATACAGTTTCACGAACAAAGGTCACAAAATAAGATAGAATGGAGAGAGGCTAATGCGTATAACTAGGATGAAAATGTTAAGCATGAGGTATGCAGAACACTAATCGAACAATATTGTAGTAAGTATTCTTCTCAACACATTTTGACAAAGTGTCTACATTGATCATAAAGTATGTTTATAGATTCAAGGTCTATACAAGCGTTCTCTTCTCACTGATGGTACAGTGTCTCGTCACGGCTAACGCGGGGAAACCTTTTCCATTTGTACCGGGGATGTCGTATAGGTATAGTACACTGTTCTAGTGTGGTGTCCTTGTACTAGAACGGTAACTAAAAACAAAAAGATATTTATTTTACAAATATTTTAATTGACTAGCAGTTCTTTTTATACATTTTTTGTTGTTGCCGAGCGCTAGCTGTGACCTTTCCTTCCATCGATAAAAACATACACATGACGTCTATCACTCAGTATAACTATATGCAACAGAGCAAAAGCGAAAAGGCTATTGTTCAACAACAAAGATACTTCATATTCACGTATGGTAAATCTAAAACGATATGCTGATACTATCTATTTCACTAGAATCTGCAATACAATAGATGGATAGTAAAAATTGACGTTAATGCGTTCCTCTGTCCTTCTGTTGAAGATATCATCACTGCCCCCACCGATCACGTCTAGAAGAAGCCAGCTACGCGGAAGGGTTCTGTGTATTACACGGAAATAATTATTGTTCACGCTACCATCCGCTTCTCAGACTAAACCCACAGAAAACATACATAAGCGATGCTGAAATACTCACGGCCTTTCAGGCTGACACATATCATCTTCGAACGGGACAGGAAAGCAACTGCTAGTTCCTGGAGATCAGGAATCCCCCAGAGATGGGGCTACGGTGAACTGTATTAGAGGATCTGAAAAGTTTCATAATAAGGCGAACATAAGAAATAACAAATACTTTCTATAAACGCATCGCTATATAGCTGCAGACATCCGGTTCAACAATTTGACACAGAAAAGAACGGAGATCGACTGAATGATGTGGGAGCCAGTTAGGTTTTACCGCATCAAGCAGTTTTTGCTTAGGTCAAAAGGTAAACGGTTTCTGAATGATCACGTCATTAACTTGTAATATACGCCGAATTCAATATATAGTTTAAATGAATAGGAGAATTGAGCTTATTATTATTATATTCACTTCATTTAAACTTAACTTTATGTCTTCAATATAAAAGCCATGGGGTAAATGCTTACGGGACTCGAACCGAAGACTCTCAGCTTCGTAGCCGGACATTAAACCGTCCCAGAAACCGTGCAAATAGAATTTTTGGTTGACCTCTTCTGATATATATATATATATCAAATGGGGGTTAAGTTTAATTAGCCTACAGTGTCGAGACGTTCCACGGGTAAAATAAACTTAAGATATCTGTCACTAAACGCTTTCAAATAAAAGTGATAACTTCGTTGTCGTCACGTTTGCGTTCTCGTTTTTGTTATGTCATATTTATGTACATATATTGAAACCGGCTACATTCGAATAGCCCATACAGTGAGGTGGGTATATATGGGCTGTGCCACGAACGGGGTAGTCGTAGCTAAGCCTCTCATTAGAGATGATGTTTAAGGTTTTGCCGATGACACATAGCTGTTACACCATTTATAGGAACAATAAACAGAGGTATTACTTCATGTCATTACACTGGTCAGCATCACAGGATTCAACAGAATTTTAAGGATCTAGGGGAGATGGTATGGACATCAACGGTCCAGCTGCTCGAATGCCAAAAAGAACAATTGTTAAAAATATTTGTTGTTCCGTTTAATTGACTTCTTTCTCATCATTAAGGCTAATCTGCCAGAAGAATTATTCAGGTACTATCTTATTTTCACTATATTATACTATAGTGATTTCGAAGACGATACGTCTATCTGATAGCTGATCGCGTAAGATTACCGCTGTAAAACTTCATAATTGTATGCGTCAAATTCAACAGTTTATCCTGTGTAGTACTCGACAGCATAATATATGCTTCATGTTTGGTGTGGTCACTGAAGGATGGCCTGCGCCAACACTTAATATAGGGTGTACGCTCAGGCCCAATTTCATCTTTCGAACACCTTAGGAATCTTTCTGTTTCAATAGGCAAACACGTTGCTACTACACTATCACAGGGACATCAATCGATAACCTAGTCACACTTCAGTTTTACAACTTCGATAGCAAAATAATTCGCTTCTCAGCACACACAAAGATACTGCACATTTTACGCGAATGAAGAAAAGTACTAATTAGGTGTTTTAAATGAGAAATAAATCGTAAGTATTTCCCATAGATACAAGAAATCGTTCGAAAGACATACAAATTACCAGTTAAAAACTTCAAAGATCTATCACAGAATGATCGACATAATGGAATTTCTATTGCATTCAATATCCTGCACTACATCTAGTAAGAAGTTTACGAACAATTGTTTATCTCGTGGTATACTACAAATAATATTAAGGGATATTTTGAGTTTTGTCGAACAAGCTACTTCGTCCTGGGTATCCATAACATTGTGAGTATGCTGCTTTCTGCTGTTGACCTTTTATTTAAGTACTTTGAAGTTGTAATAAGAAACAGTTGTCTAATTATCCAATCTTTCGAACATGCCTCCCCGTGAAACTACTGGAAACCTGACTAGAGAAAAATCGTAATGGGCATACGCATTCCGTTTGAGGACGTAGTTTATCCTTAATGTTGGCTAATTCTAATGAACGCTCTAATATGCTACCGTTAAGTGCACGTTACTCTACGTTTCAGATCCAGAAACAACGACTCTGTTCTGTGTCCATTTAATAGCCAGACTTCGAAACAGAGATTGGTCCTATGTTAAGAGCGCAAACTTGCGCTAAACCACACTATGAATGGAAATTTCTGGACGATTTGATATATTCTTCCAAGAAATTAAGTACCGGGCTACGGAATTGAAAGCATATATAAAATAACTGTAAAATTTGTGCGCATTCGAAGCGTATGCTAAAGTCCGGTTCACAACCGCGGATCATTGGCCCGTGCATATGAAGCAGACTACGAGAAATTGCAAGTTAACGCTTCATTAGAATCGAATTCTTATTGATAAAACAAAATACACTGCATGAGTATTTTAATAGAGTTTTTACTGACAAACAAAAAGTGAATTTCTGTAATAAACTGCCAGATTAAACAATAAGTCTGAGGTGTCCAAAACAAGAATTTAAAGTAAAGAAATTCACTAATTTTTCCCACTCATTTCTGAGATTGTCGTTACTTTTTGGCCCGAGTCGAGAGACTAGTCACGTTGACAGTGCGTCTTCATCCTCAATTGGAGCGATTGATCCTTCGCATTTTAATTAAAGAATTTGCATATCTCTGTTTGCTTTCTTAGAAAAAAGTATCAACTACCAATACAATAATTACCTGCAACATCGTATCATAGTAATCCGCTTGAAGCAGAAACTTCCCCTAAGCTGCGCACTTGTTTGCTTCTTCCATTCCAAACCATTCTAGATGGGGAATGCTGATGATGAATGATAAAAAAGCAAACTCCGGGCGCATTTTGTCCGGTAAGTCCATCCTTACTTCGGGTTCGAACCCAATGACCACCTATCGCATCCTCCGAGCACTACCTGGCCGGCCTCAAGGCATTCAAACTACGGCGCCGCTGATCGGATGGTGCTCTTTACCGAGCTGCATCTAGGCGCCAGTTTGGGCGGGCGCGAAGGCCTCGGACTCTAGGCTACCCCGCCATTGCAGCTGCTCTCGAGTCCGAATGTACACACAGCAGCAGACATCATCGCCTGCTCAGTTATAGCTACAGAGACGCGGTAGCAGCTGCCTTGTTCTTGGGAAGGGTGATTTAGTTCACCAGCAAATATCTACACAACTATAGCGGTACGATAGAGGCAGATACAGTGCTAGTGAGTCAAAGCAAACAACGAGTGGGTCTGCAAGAAAGACAAGCGCAGCGCCAGCCGCGGCACACAGTGAGCGCCGCGTAGCTCCGGGTGCCTGTCATAGGCCTCCTCCCTATCGGAAAACAAGCACAGCAATGTTTCGGAGTCGAGCAAATAGTATGCTTTTCGAAGGTTCTGAGAAACACTAGTGAACTTGATCTTTCATTTGGTCGCCGTCTGATCCTGTCAACTTTCGTTTGTGATGTTATGACTGCGAGAACTGTTCAAAGTTCCCGATCGACCCTGGCGTAGAATAAACGCGCTAAGCGGTGAAATCTCTCAGGGGTGTTGAATCGTTTTGTACGGACCGAACAATGTGGATATCCTTAGTGATCATTTCGGCGAATTGGATGGCAGTTGCACAAGAGTAGTCAGAGACGCTAAAGACGCCGCTACGGTCGTGTCACGATGTGTATCTGTGGAATTTACAATAGAAGTCAATTGCAGCTGCTATTGATGTGAAATCTACCGGTAATATAGGAATATATTCTGTAGGATTGAATCACTGTGGCGGATATTGATATGCGCTAGTGTTTTCCGCTATCATTTTGCGTCGCACCGCTATAAGAAACAAAAGTAGAGTGGACCGAATTTAATAAGCGAGCAGATCGTATGCTCTGCTCACACATCTACTGCGCAAACATTACTGGCTCTTTGTACGAACCACCGTCTATACTGAAAGCTGCAAATACGTAACGGACGACTACCAGCGCTACTTCTACTCTTAATAAAGATAACTTCGTAAAGAATAGCAGCCAATAGCTAAGCTAGGACTTCGATGGGCATACATGAATATCGGGAGTACCGGCAGTTTGTCACCTAAACCTGCCACTGTCCCAGATGACCGTTGTCGCTGGTGAGGTTCTAAACAAAACTGGATCAATCTAAGTACCATTTACTGCTGGTGATATGATGACAGGCCGTTGTTTTTCTTAGTTCAAATCTGCTAAGTTCCTCATGCACACCAAATGACATTAGCTTGGTTTGAGTGTAGCGTGAGAACTGTATAGGGAATACAGTTGTACCCTTAGCTGTTTACAACAGAGCGCGCAAACTGACAACCAAAATATCGGCGACCTATCATAGAGCCGCACGCGAACCCACCGACGCAGTGAAGCAGGAATGAAACATTGTCCATCCGCTAGAAAACTTGCAACATACACATATATCAACGTGAGCAATTGCATTTTCGACTCTTATTAGGTTAACTAACTAGTAAATAGCATTAAGTCTACAAATGATGTGACACCGAGCAGGGTAACACAGCATCTTGAAATGCGGGCGGGAAGTCGATCGATCCGTACGATCGAATCCCGCAAGAACAGAAAAGATCGGTTCTCGTTATGAAAAAAGGTGCACATAGCGCCTGTTTTATAATCACGATCTGCTAAAGGATTCTCTTTTCTTTTTAACATGAACAGGCACGGAATATTCTGGGCAGTGGTGCTTTTCTATTAACCGAAGTTACCACAAGAAACAGAACACAAGAAGGTAACGCGTCTGCCTCCGAACCTTAGTTAAAACACACGTGAGTCGCATGTCATATACTGGGAATAGACGTAATGCTAGTCCTACTGAAAGGCAAGATGTCTGATGTAATCTGGGGGTTCGATTCGAACGCATAAAGGGCAGACTTCGTCAACGAGACCAATCGTCCGTTATTGTGATGCTATTAGTAAAAGCAGGCTAAATCAGGCATGCTAGTTACTTTATGAGATGCTCTACTTTATTGGGGTGTATTATAGAACATATCGGAAACATAACACTTATTAATAATGCTAGTCTTTTGTTCCGTTTCACATACATAGGCACATATATTTCGTTACATAACTTGAGGGATTTTTGATAAACCAAACGAGAAGCCTTCTCATTGTTGTCACCACTGCTTCAAACAGTGACATTTATCGCTAAACGTTGGCGTTTCGCTAAATGTATCTAACACTGTTTCTGGTTAAGTGGAATAAATACTATGTGTTCAAGGCAGAGCCAATATGGTGTAGGCGTTATACAAATGAATCGTGAAGCTCAAAAGTGTTCCAAGAGTTCAAAAAACTTTTTAAAAAAACGTTAGCTGCCGAGAGACCCCATTTCAAACAGTCAAAAAATGTTTGGAACACCTAGTATAATGCTACTTTAAGTATTCATGTCTTGTCCTTACGCTTTCGCTATGTGTCCATCTAGAAAAGGTAAATAGGACAAAAACCATTTATATTTGGCGCCTCTATATGTTATAATCGCCTGGGTGAAACACTGTCCTTTATTGTGCCGTTTGTCCAAAATATCCAAGTTCCTTATGTTGGGAAGAAGATTGCGTTAGATGGATAGCTTTGTTACTTGTGGTCATGCGGTCCTTTGCGCTTCATCGACTGCGTTTATCGGACAGCTGAACACACAAGCACCAGTCTTTCTGCCTACACACATTCACTGTGACCAGGCGTAGAATAATCTATTAAACAAAAACGGCCAAAACGCTAAATAGGCTTATTATCCAGTTGTATTATACTATATAAGAGGTGTAATATTTAGATTCAATAAGAAACAATGAATTTTTTTCAGAGATAGCTATGCATGGGGCCAACAAGTCTATTTACTATCTTAGAGAGCATATTGAAAGCGTAAAGATTACAGTGTATATATACGAAATTTGTTTACATATTGTAGCGCCGCCGTACTATATATTTTTTATAGTTGTGGTTTTATGTGGAATCTCTAAATCTCATTATTAGGGTTGACTTTTCTGAGGCCACAGACGGCGGGCAGAATTCGTCGGTTAAACCTTATATTTAAATAAACTCATTCCACAATACATTCGTCAGTGATTTCCAAAACGGACCATATTTTCATACTAAAAAACAATTTGAAAGTCGAAACAAAGCGAGCTTAATATCGGTTACCTCTAGATAAACTAGCAAATGACTTTTTCAGCACCTCTATGTAATTTGTAGCCATTCAACTTTATGATGTACTCTGCGGTGATGATGCGGCTTTGGCCATAAACCACTCTATCTTATGTTAAGGTCAGTCTCTATTTCCCCTATTAGCAGTATACTAATGATGAATTTTTCATTGTCACCATTACTCTACCCAGGGCCATCAACCCAAGCCATTACGTATAACGAAAAAGCTTTTGAATACAAGTTTCCGATACCAAATCTTTAGCGTATTCGAAAGCTTGCTAGACCTCTAATATTGATTAGCTTCAAATCGACTGCCCGTTATTTAAAATACTTGTGGCAATGTCTTATGGCGTCGGTTTGCCCGCCCACGTCCGCTAGGGTCATTGTTATTCTCCAGAGGACAATTAGAGGCCCTTGTTACAGTTTGAAATTCAGAGTAAATCACGGTCTTAAGCCTTGGATAAAGTTGAAATTGATAGGCAAAAAAAAGATGAGAGTATCGTTGACAGAGTCAAATGATGGATGAAATTGTTCTCGTTGGCGGTGGAATAATGACCAGTATTGAGTTAAGTTGCGAATCATTTCAATGAAACAGGCGCCTGCAATACATGTGCTTTTTTCTCGCTCAGTTTCAAAGGAAGCTGGGTGCCCATATCAAAGATATGACAAATAACTAACTACTAGATGAAGTAGTTAAAGAAAGTGAAGAATTAAACTACATAGAGATATACTAATTTCAAGCTGCACACATGTTGAATCGGTCGTTAACTCCGCCAGATAATTTTTTTTACAAATAGCTGATAAACAACAATATTATAAGCGATATTTCATATGGCCATCACCTACTACTTACATCATCTAGCGATACCACCCACACAAATAGCAGATCGCAGACTATTGGTCTCTGGTCAACGATTTGCTATGATCAGCTTTTCTCGCAATGGAGGAAAAGGCAATCTTTAAGATGGTGACTTCGTATGATCGCGTCGTGGTCCGTTAAATATTCCTAGAACAGTACGTCCGTTTTAAGCCTTCATCGAGAGCTTCAGCTTGTTATCCGGTTGTGTTCCTGCTTTAAGTATAGCGATTACTTCTTTTGCCTTGTGTTTCAATGAGAGAAATCTGGATCGGTCTTGTAGGTAAAGTAGCCATTTTAGGGCGTCTGCTTCTATTTTACAAAGGTTTCAGTACGAGCCGCTGTACCATATTTTTATAGGGGTAAGAGGCACAACAACAACAATTTAATTACAACGTCCTTTCTATTGGATTTTAATGTCAGCTGACATTCCGTAAATGTGTTTAGGTGGACAGGCATTACACAGGGGACAACTGTGCTGAGACGATAGATACCTTAAGCCAAGATGCATTTTCTGATTACTGACCAACGTCAAGTTTAGGTTAACAATATATTCGTATTGGAGTGTAGACCTTGTGTTAAAGGAAAGTGTTCGTGGAAGGTACGAAAAAGTAACAAAATAAATACAAAGAAAAAAATGGGAACAACGAAAAATCAACTGAAAAAATAGAAGCAGTTCACACGATCGCTACCGTTCATAAATTTATCGCTAAATATGTTGATAAAAAAAGTGATGTGAAAATAAACAAACGTTCATCAAAAATGCCGACGCTTACCATTAGAAGCAAGCCAGCTAAATGTGCGAATTTGTTTTACGAAATTTTATGTCAGAGTAAAAATACGTTAAATATATTTTTGTTAATGGACGAAGTTGATTTAAATCATTTTCTCCAAAGAAAAAAGAAATTCATTGGATTTTAGTACCAAGATACTCCGCGCGGACAACATTCACATAATCATTGCATATTTTTCACTATCTGCTGAATGCGAGTTCACGCTTAATTTTCTTAAAAGCAAAAGTACAGGAAATCGACCGCGGATGTTTACATACGGAAAGTCTATATGATTTGGTGTAAATAGAGCGGTTCTTTTTTATCCTAATGTGATCAAGTAAAGAGAACGAACTAGAATACCGAGCATTCCTTCGTGGCATTTGCGCGCCATAAATAGAAAGACTAGCAAGGAAAGTAATTTTTCTGCTTCGTAATCGCTCAACGCTGGTAAGCCTCGTATTAATTCAAGGCATTTTTGACTCTTTTAATATTTGTATCTGTGTTTGTTTCAAGTTTTTAGAAAAAAATGGCGTTAAGAATGGAGGCATATCTTACATCGCTGTGCAACTTGGACGCTATTGCGGTCGCGTCACTCAAATTTGACATAATGACAACAAAGTCCAATAGAAGCTAATAATTGGCTTTGCGTGGGTATTTCGAGCGATACAATCTACGTTGTTTTTTTGCCCTACATTCTCGAACTAACTCACGCTAGTGGCACCGTCTGCACAAACGAATATTAGTTATTAGTGAAAAGTTCGCGCACGATGGAATATTAGACGAGTGCAAATGCGGGTGTAATTATTATTAAATAAGTTTACTTTTTATCTTTTGATAATGTCATTACCAAAGTACTTTGCTTTTAGTAATATCATTTTCACATTTTTGCTTCATTAACCAGCAATGTAATTCTTCTTTTTCATATCTATCGAAGCAACCGTAACTAAAAATAATAATTAGAAATTTACTTTTGGTGAATGAAGCTTCCTTTGTTGATCAACCGAATTACGGGTATTACCCTTACGATATGGCTTTTAGCTGATAATGCAGCAAATGTTAAAAAAAGCACACGAAATATCATCTACTGTGCGAAATGTTATTGGCTTCTACCATGGCGATGCCCTGTATTAAGAGCCAAAACCATAAGAAAACATACTACTTCGGTAATTTGAATTTCAACTTATAATTTTGCCATAGGCAAATACTAATGCCCATCTACCAGACACATACAAAAGTTAGTCTTGGCCATCCAGATGAAAATGCAAAAGATCGTATCGGAAATTAACGGTGTTTGACGTAAAACTAGTAACAGATAGGCACCCATATGTAAACATAATGCAGACATTTAGATAAATATAATAAAGATTCGAAGCAGAGATTATCTACATAAATACATGTAATCTTCGTTCATTGATATGTCTACGAGACCTGTGCGTAATTCAACGTGACGATAGGCGATGTTTAGCATAGCTGATGCTACAGCCCATTGTCGTACTGATCAATATAATCCTGCGATGCAGATGCTCTCAGCTGAAGTGCGGAGCAAAACGAGCATTGTAGCTTATAAGAGTCGATTTTCTTCTAGAAGTTGTTCTCATTTTTCCTGTAAATATTAGAATAATTAGTACTATTATTCGCAGCCAAGGATATGAGAAGAAAAAAGGCAGTGATATTTATCAATCACACAGTACTGAGCGATACAGTTGTTCATCAAAGGCCAGATATCAGTCGGAAGAATTAATCAGAAATACAGATTTTTTTTGCTTGCTTGCCCATCGAAAATGCAAACTTCTGAAGCACTTATCAACAATCTGATAAAGACGATCAGCTGGTTTCATTTGAAGTCGGTAGACTGAAACACATTGAACGCGTGTGCAACATACGTTAGAGCGACATGTTGTCTTTTTTGAAAGCGTTTGTACTGCACCAGCAATCGGTCATATTGTCTCTCTATCATTACCACTAATCCAGCAAGCGTTAATATATGACGCAGATTTGACTGCGTATGAGTCGTGTGAATTTGTGATATATGTATATACGTATAATTAAAGTATAAAGATCTGTGTCGATAATGTTTTAAATTATATTTCCTGTATAAAAGGACTTCTAAGGAAAATGTTAGGTGGTTGTAGCAGGAATATTTGTTTAATTTGCTAGCTCGTAAAGCCACCATAAGAGAGTTAACAAATCGGAAAAAAAACGAGACAAGCAGTGAAACGTCATTTGTGAACTGTCGTCTAGAACTAGGAGAACCACTGGAAAATCTTGCATTGAACGTCATACTCGATATAGTTAATGGGTGCGGAATCGCAGCTTTGTCGTTAATTGCCACATTAAACATTGGAGTTTTTTTTATTCATATATGTAACCGGTCGTATCATTAGATGGTAGGATTACCACACACATTCTAAATGCAAAGAAGCCTCCGTTTAGGTCTGCAGATTATCTTGAATACAATTGCTCGACAGTTGTACATCAAAGAAGTCTCGAACCTGCATCTGCAGCTGGATTCGAGCTTAACGTTTTATGCTGCTGTTTAGTTATGCTTCCGGCGGGTAGGCGTCAAATTTTGGTCGTCGTCAAAATATTTCAAATACTTCAAAGGTGCGAAGTCGCTCGAGTCATGAATGCGATTTCATCGCCATTGACATTCTGCTCAACACTCGTAGACGTTAGGATTTTCTGGTCGAAAAATTTATTCTGATAAGTATTCATACACAGGCTATAAACAAAAGTATCTTGATGGGGTGAGAATCTTCGTTCTACATCTGCACTATATAAACATATATATACTTTTTTGAAGTTACGCTACGTCGAAATCGTTGTTGTAATGATATGGCATTCTAGCTCGATTATCCCTAGGTTTGTTAGCATTTACATCTATCCGCCACTAATGATGCTCAAAAATACGTACATATGCGCGTGCATGAATTTGATTGGGCTCTCTACTTCAATAGGTACGCTCCACTTTAAATTGCAATGGTTCGTTAATCTCAGTGGGAACAAAACACACATAGCCTCATCTAGAATATCTGCTATAGAATATAACACAAAACGAACGAAGCTACACCTTAATTTGTAATATTATCATTTCAGATGCATGTTTGGTTCGCCGTGATCGTTGTCAGTGCTGTTTAATTCGATTCGCTTTTATGTGGCGGCATTGTTAAAATCAACAGATCTTGTTTTTTGTAGATATGACATATAGTCGAAGGCTGTGCATTTATCTTTGGTAGCGGCGACACTCAGTCAGTCACACTTTACCCGCTCATTTATGAAAATCAATTTTGGATGGATGTTAGCTGCTTAAGGATAATTCTGCTATTCTGGTACATACAGTCCATCTACAATCCATTACGAAGTTATTTTTAAGATGTGACAATGATAGGAATCATGAAACCCTAGCCTTTTCGAACAAGAAAGCCGATGACTTTCAAGCCATGTTTCGTTAAAAAATTAACGAATCCAATACCAGAAAAACCGAGCAAATTGGATGCGATAACTATTCCTTTATTCACGTTTTTGCTGGAAGTTGAAGCAACAGTCTTATTCTCTTTAAGGCAGACTGAAGTAGTGATTTGACAAATTCGTAAACGAAAGACAAGGAATACTCTAAGTGTAAGGGACGATAAAGTTGGTAGAATACGTAATGCGATGGATATTAATTGAGGTTAACAGCTTTCAAACCAATTAACTTCAATAAAAGCTAATTTTTTTCAGATCTTAGCAGAATCGACGCTAGGTTATTACTTCCTCAATAAAATTTCCTGATGTCCAAACACGATTTTACAGAACCATTGTTTTCATTTGCCCGAGTAATGTCGCAGATGTTTGCACGTACAGTTCGTTTCATTGAAACTGCTTTAGAAGTGCGTATTGTTTACTTTAAAAAGACACCGTCCGTTGACGTTTGCGCGGGAACTCTATTTCAGGTTAGTAGTGATCTCAAGAAGTGTCAACCTTTCGACGTAAGTTTTTTTCACACGTAGCTTAGCACGACAGTGAATAATCCATAAATTCAGTAGAACGAGACGCAATTCACCTGACACTATCGCAGTTATCTTCAGCAATTATATTAAATTACCTAAGCATAAGTAACCCGCCGCCTTCAAATATGTTTTATCCTTGGCAATACGTAGTACACAACCCGATACGGTTAAGTCGAAAGCGGCTTCGCCACTGCTCTGTTATGCCCGAAAGCACTTATTTTTGGTATCGTCAGTCACTCCATATAACGTTTAAATATAATTGACTTTATTTATTCACACAAGTTGTGTGCTATGTGTCGTTGGTGTAATATGAAGCAGCATATCTATATAAAAGAGAATGCAAAACCCTAAAAGTCACCCCGTTTCTCTAGCAAGGAGACGTTGATTTAAAACTGTAATCCTATTTTAAGAATTTTTCAGATCTACACAGATTAAAAATGCGATTCGCGTTACTGGATATTTTTTTAGGGCCAGGTTTTGAAAGGCCGAGTTGTTTGCGACAATTGGGCATTTTTTCGCATCCTATATCTTATTTTGCTTCTGATTTTGGTCTCTTTTCGGACAAAATGTAATTCTTAGATGTGTGGGTACCTCATACATTTAAAAGCTGATTTCATACTGCGTACGAGAACTTTATGTGAAGTTGTGGTAGACGACTAATAAACTTCTGTTTGTTTAATCTAGCAATGAGTGATTAAAAGGCATTATGTTCTCTAGCCATGCTCACAGCCTTTTTCAGCCAGAAAAGCATTTTCCCATTAGCTTTGTTGAATGATTCACTTCCACACGCGAAGGTATCAGTACTTCATATAGCTCTATCTTTGACCCCAACTCCATTTGGTGATGCTATACAAAACAACCACGTAAGTGTCTTCAAGCGGTTTTTTCCCGAAAATTGACGATTTGTAGTAAACTCATTTGGGTCACACAATTGAACAGTCTGTCACAGCTTGACTGCTTTAATACCAGCTTGTTGTTTTTATGAACGAAATAATCGCTTCTACACTAACTTGTATGAAAAGGAGAAGATGGATATTGACAGGCTATAGCTTGGAAGAGCTATTACGTGTCAGTGACTCGTCCCACGAGACGACCACTCGTTTACGGCTTGTCGACATCACTGCTGCTACTTCGAAGTAAGGGTTAACTAAGCACTACTCCCTATGCAGCAGCCTGACGAATGAACACATTACTCGATTAAAAATGTTGCTTATAGTCTTGTCAACTGCAATATACCTACGACTATCCTCACGTTTGCTGTCACTTATCCTCGTCATAAGATCAGTATTATTGTCTCTTTCCAGCTCTAATTTGGATAATTTTTTAAGTAACTTAGTTACATTTAAATGCTCAGTTATATATAGAATTAGCGACCGATTTTCGCTATACCGTCATGTCTATAGACCCTGATGCCCTGTCAGCAGCGCGTTGAGAAATGGGAAATTTCACTGATGCCATTCGGCTACTCTGGACGTCGCTTCGTGCACGGTTGTTTAAAAGAGAGTCGAAGACGTAACGTTTGAAGAGTAAACATTTGGCTGAAAAACAGCAAGCGGGTCTGGAAGATAACGAGAGTCGCAACAAAGGAGATAGATTTCGGGTTTACTGGCTTTCCGGTTTCGGGCAATAATAATGTAATAATATACGAAGACAATTACATGAGTGAACAGCCTGTACAACAAATACTTGATTTGGTACAGTAACTGCTTCCTCTCGACAAATTTCGATCTTTTAGTGAAAATTTTCTCTTGCGTTGACAAGGCATCCGTCGTGTACGGAAGCATAGAGGATGTGCTTATATAAAATACGTGCCAGTGAATCTTGTGTCCGACACACGCACCTACCTACGTACACCGAGACACTACAAAAAGAATATTGCGCAGTAAACTGATGGTGCATTACCTGTTGCCGCACTCCGAACCCGGTTATGTATATGTTGGCCTATGCTTTAACCATTGGGTTGGCGAACTGCGAGGACGCCCGCTTGTCCCTTGGGCGTTCACAAATACGTAACCTAATAAAAAAAAAGCACAGGACATTTGTGTAAATCATACACTCTCAAGGTTTTAGCTCGCATGCTAATTATGTAGAAACTACGTTCATCATTCAACTATGCTTTTCATACTTAACAAAAAGTAATTCCAATTTATTTTGGAAGTGATAAACCGTTACCGTGATATAAGCTGCTCTTTGTAGAGGTTCCATTGCTGCTTAGTAAACAGTGCTTTAGAAATTTTTTGGTGCGCACTGATTGAACGATCACGTGAGAGGCGGGTGGCTTCGGTCTCGCAAAAGACAGAAATACCTAGGTCGTAAATCATTTAGAATCTGTAGTGTTTAGCAATTTTTTCCCGAAGTTATTTAACTCATTTTTTTGGTTTTTGGATTAAGTGTTCCGGAAAGCTGTAGAGTATGGTTAATTAAACAATTTTGATTTCTTTGGCTCGAATTCTACAGGTCTCATTTTAAGTGTATATACTTATACTACTATGGCAATACGATATTTGTACCGTTACGTATGTTGCATACGTACCATCATAAAGGATATGACCAAAAATAAATGTGGAAAATACTTTTCAGCATGAAAAACACTTTAGCAGGCTCTGCGGCGTTTTCGCTATGATATTTAGTAAATAATACGCATACGTTGAAATTAACCAAACTCTAAACTACAAGTGATGTCCTCCATAGTAAAATTGCTCCCTTCAACGATTACAGTGTTTCTTGTATGCATTTAGAACTAATGGATATTTTGCAATTTCGACCGTTCGCACCTGTTTACAATGCAACATAAACTTGGTTCGAGTCTGTTTAAGTTGTATTTGATCGACTTCCGCGGTAGAAACTTGAGTTTCTGGTCCAATAGATACCTTAGCTCAGTAACAGTGAGGTTGCCAGAGTTAACAGGATATGTTTGCTCGTTATCTTATATTTAGAGTATTCATAACGGCCAAGGTCGACCTGGAATACCGATCGATTGTAACAGATCTTCAGACCTATGCGACGACGTAAGCGCATTGTATGAACTTGCCCTTAACCATCTAACGACTAAGGTGCCTGTGTCGAATATGCGCGGAATTATTATTACTGTCATACGTTTAGAAATATATACAATATCAAACGAACCATTATCATTTTATGAAATTTTAGAAGTTGTCGTAGCTTATCACTGTACTACTTAAAAAGGTAACATTAGCACTTAGCACTAAGCAAGTTGCTTAGTGAATTCGAGTACGGTAGAGCGGACGTTTATCTACAGGAGACTTGGTTGTTCCAATCATCGGGCACTATCACTTGCATAGAATTAAGGCCGATTGGCGAGTTATTTGCGCCTAAACATAAGTAAGACGTGGTGCACACCTGTCATAGGACATCAAAATTTCGCATATCTAATACCGTAAATTATAGCTGTAGTATTGTACAAGAATATTTGTCAATTCCTTCCTAATGTTATTGTTTTTCTGTTACTTTCAGAGCGACCAGAAACCGTCAAAAAAATCGTAGACCGTATACCGTTCCCGAGCTCGTTCTTAAACTAAAGCCATTTTTTGGGTGAGATTGCAGTGATCGATTGATTCAAGGGCTCTTCATGCTTAGTTCAATCGATTGATAGCTATGTATAAGCATTTAGTTTGTCCGCAGCTAAAACCCTACAAATCTTTGTAGCTGGTATTAGAAAGCAGTAAACCAAGCATCGAAATCAGATGAGTTGCTTGTGCGGGGGAGAAGAAATGCAGTAGCAGTTTTTTTTTTTGAGAGTTATATTGCAGCGTCCCATTGTTTCTTCTGCAGATCAGTTCCACGAAACCAGGACTCCGTTCCGCGGTGATTATGGTGAAGTCTCGAGATATTTCGGTATCGTTGACGAAGGGTGATATCTCACCGGAACCTCAACCACATCTTCAGGATAGTGACGACAATGGACAAGAACAGCAAAGGCCTTCCATGCACGAGTCTACCATAGAACAAGGTACACTGGCTCTTTGATGAACAGCCGTCAGTTGTCCATTAATGTTTTCTAGATATCGAGTTATTTAATCAATAACGTCCCGTGAGAATTATAACATTGTTTTCTCAAAGCTATAATAACTGTATTTAGCTTTGATATCATAAAGCCAACCATTTGTATGATGCTTGCGTTTATTTCAGTATATCTATTCCTAAGATCTATCTAGTGTAGCTATGATTAAAACAAATAACAACCAATAATGGTAATTTAAGAAACCCAATTTTCGACCCTATCCCGTAGACTCTTCACATATTTATTCCGTTTAACCCATGTCAACAAGCTATTATCTTATTGGGCTTGACCCACGCAAGCTGACACGACTACTTTTGCTTTCTATACAAGGACTACTAAAAAGTGTACATAGCCGCTACGTTCCATTAGGTACGCAACGACAACTATACAAATTTCTGGTCTCTAGCCCACCTTACGATACAGATCATCAGCTATGCACATAGAAATGTTTATACTAACATAATCTTAATTAAGTACTACCTAATAGCGGAATAACGACAAATAAATAAAAACAATAACAATAATAAATTAAACGTGAACAATTTGTGCGTGCCATAGGATTTGCATTTTAACATACATGTTTTCTGTATATATAGCCAGGATAGATATATTTTCTAGAATTCTAGTAATTAGAAACCTTTCGTGTTTCCAGTGATAGATGCGTGTCATATCCCATATCCCCAATATCTTGGCCTCAGATGTCAGCTAACGGAACCAAGTCATGCATCTTTCCAATTTCTCAGTGTCATATTGCGTACAGATTTGAAACTTCGGTAACGCTGTATGGCTAACTTATATTGCGACAAAGCCTGTCTAGTGTCATGCTTCAGTTTGGCAATAAATGAATCCAAAGGCGACCCCTTAACCTGCGCGCATTTTGGACACTGACAACAGAGCGAGGTTCCAGCAATACAAGGCATTCACCCATGTAGCAAAGAAAATAGCATTTTTATGTAAGTACCATGATAGGAAGCTGCAAAATAAAGAGAGGCTGCAGCCTCAGCAGAAACTTACCTATGCCCTACGCTGCTTTAGTTCTGCAACTCCAAAACAAATAGGGCCCATGCGCATTACGTGTCTGTGTGTGACTCACAGTATTAATTTTTGCCCTCGTCCGTTCCTTGTCTGTTTCATTGCCTACTGCGTGCGCTGCTTATTGTTCGTTAGCATCGTATCGGGCCAACGGACTAGGCAAATATCAACTTATTTGATACGATTCTGAAAATTTTACGGTAATGGACAACATTGCAATAATTGGTGACTGGTCTCGCCGTAGTAGACGCGGCATTCCACCTGGCTTTTGGACAGTACGTCTCGAAACATTACAGCAGGAAACAGATAGACAACATACCTGTACCTCTGTGATTGGCGTATACCTCTATGATTGGCGTACCAGCAGTTGTTAGATCTGTCGACGGTTTTGATTCGAACGTTCGTGCGTCGAGCTCTTCGTGCGTTTGACGCACAGTGGTTCTACACGTACATCTATCTTACCCACTTATTACGCTTAAGTGTGCCTTTTGCTTGAATAGCTATTTATCAGTTAATGCTTGCTAACCATTTCTAAATGACAACCTCAGCTTTTTATACACATTAAAACCTTTTCTACGCAATAACCCATGATGGTTATGTACTTGTATATATATATATATATATAAGGCCCGAAACTGTGTGATCAAGCGAATAAATCAGATGAATGTTTATTTGCGTAACGATATGTATACGTCGCTACTCCAACACCGAAGGAACGCAAGATAATTTCTACATTCATGACAATATACGACCTGACGGAATCTAGTATCCGAATAGATTGTCAGCCTATGTGACTGCTCACTTGATAGGATCAGCGATGGCGGATAGCTATTTTAATTATTTAGATTTATTATTTAGTAATTAGACATACATTTTCAATTTTTGTTGGCATCTATTGATAGTGAGAAAGAGATGAATACTTTGGTGCCAGCAAGGTGGTGTCCAATCAGTTATGCGCGTTTAGTTATGGACTATGTTGAATAGATCGAAGTCGTTTATCAGCATGCACAAAAACACTATTAGTTGAGTTTACTCTATGTTATGTCTGTTCTTGGGAAGTCTCGTTGTTAAATGCTTTCCCTATCCACAAGGATACATTACGCATCAATAAGACAACAAATAGATCTGACCTCAACCACACTCGTCGCTAAGTCAATTGCACACGTGCCCGAGTTCGCGTAATTTATACCATAGTTATTGTTAGACTGGAAGCTTTTCTCAGCTTGACATGGGATCGGGATGTTCTTCAGCGTTACCCAATGCCTCCTTATTTTTGCCCATTCGATTGCTCCTCACCCAACAAAAACCATTAGATAATCGAACAATGGCGTTTTACAAATTCGCAGTTGAAAAAGATAACTTATACACCGGATATCATTGTACAGTCGGGATAGCCTGTGTCAGTGTTTTATTTTAAAGAGAACATTTTAGTAAACGTCAAAGGAAAGCCCATGGTCCAACCCTTATGCATTATTAAGATCACCGCTTATGGCTGCGGTGCGAGTCAACCACAAGCAGCAGCCCAGACAGTCGAGCGATCGTACGAAACACTGTAATTACTCCCACAGAAGAAGCTCCAATCTCAGTAAGACAATCATGTGCTCGCGCGTACCTCATATAGTTAAAAGACATGGTCTTAGTCGGTGTCCTATTGTGATCCAAATAGATTGTAAAATTCAAATTGGAATTTGTAATAATACGTTCGTATAGTTAAGTAACTTTATTTTTTAACTCATAAAAGCCTCACAATATTCGCATCAACGCAATGTCAACGAAAGCATCAAGTTATGACCTATGGAACATCTTGAGTCGAAGGTCAATGTTACCATCGACGTTTCATACCCGGACAGATCCCCTGCTTTGCCTCAGACCGCAGTTCTGTCAGTGACCAACGAAGCTATATTAGAACGCCCGTTTTGCTCCACCAGTAATAGTAACTGGATGACGAAGGTTTGTCATCATTGAAAACCACGACTCATTGTTTTGGATTGATCTCTCCTCATATTCATGTTATGATACGTGTCATTGTATCAGTACGACGATGAAGGTCGTTGCTGAATTATTTATCGATCAAATTTAGTACGGCAGAGATAATTACATTTCGAGACAAAAACGCAATTTTCCTAAAAAGCTCTCAACTTAAAAGATGTAAAACATTGAACATTCGGTCAAAATTACCTTGAGTCTACAATGATTGCCATTCGTTCTGCCAAATTCGTTCGCTAGAGTTTGCCTAGCTCTTTTTTTTGTTTAGTTTGTCTAGGGCAATTGAATAAACACAACATATTGAACAGTACCGTTGAAGGCAACCAGCTCTCCGTACCGAGAGATCAACATGGCATACGTTGTAATCAATACTAGACGCACTGGGGGCAGTTAATGTTGGGATACCGTCAGATGAAGCAATAAGGGCAGTTCAATTGCTATATTGAACTGATTAGTGATAGGAAGATGGCCGATCAAAATTTTCTATAACTTAAAAGCGTCATCATTTAATTATACGGCGCACGTAATCGTTTAGCTTCTGGTGCAAGGATTCCTATTGAATTGAAATGCATTAAACTTATCGTTAGTACGGCATCAGAAGACGCACAACAATGATATTAAACTAGTTAAAACTATGTCGTATCATAGAAGGTACAATGCATTGCAAACCCCCCAGATAATGTAAGCGTAGGTGTAGCGGATAGAAATTGGTAGCAGTACATTCGAGTAGCTTTTTTTTAGGGTTTTTCGTACTCTCGCTACTAAATACGCTTTGTATACGCTTGTGCATTACTTAGAAGCTCATATTCATTCTTAGAGAATAGATCTTCTATGTGGACTATTCTTGAAACGAGGCCCCTCTTTGCACAGAACGAACCGAGAGACAAGGCCGGATTTCCGTAATTGCAAATCATTGATTCTTCTTCTCCCGCTAACGACTTTAGCCACAATTGATAGACGAGCTGTTTTCAAATTACGCTCTCGCGCAGGCAGACATAGACTAATACATAGTCGTATATTCATGACACGATGTGACGTTTGGCAAACTGTATTTCGTTCGTGACTAAGCAGCCATGTTTGCACCGACCAAACAACGTTAATTTGAGAAGAAATCGAACATGAGTGTTTACACAAACCTCCTAAGCCAATGTTGCAAACACTGTAATTCAATAATAATGGCGTTTACGTATGTAAAAAAATGCAAACTAACATTAAAGAAAAAAAAAAAAAAAGTTAGAGTGCGCTTTAAGCGCTGGACCTTTTGTAGCAAGTATAGTGACAACATTGTTCGTGTTTGCAAAAAATTTTCGTGAGCGACTGTTATGCATCAAGGACCTTTTTTCTTACTAAATTTTATCTTACCCAATAAGAAATTTAGTTGACAAGATCTAACCGTAGCAAACCGCGCGTCACATGTATGACCAATTTGATTCATGTAGATGTTGATTTTCACAGTGCTGGACTGATCGACTAGACTGAGGTGGTGCCAACAACGATTTCCGTCGAGATTTCAAACTGCTTCAAAAATATACCCGTCGAATTCGTGAACAGTACGTATCATCAAAGAAGGGTAGTGTTTGTAATGCGGACTTACAAACCTTATACCTGAGGACCCTCTCAAAGCGTCCGAAATGTATTGTGGAGTAGATGACTCTTCACGCGAGGCCCTGTTCCTACCCGGCCTAAAACGCAAAGGTAAACAACAGCTGCAACAACCGCAACCGTATTCGCAGCCGGAGATGGCGATGCCCGAATGCGAAAATGAACAAATAGACCAGTACTACGTTGTGTCCAGTACTAACGTTGGGACTAGCTCGCTACTATACCCGGGTGGTACGTCTTGTATTCCTTCAACTTTTGATAACAGTTGCCTTCATAATCGGCCCTGGACACCAACAACCCTAAAGCACGACGAGAACGGTGATGACTCAGTCGCAGAAGGCCACAAGGGTAGGAGGCCATGGATGGTGCACTTCAAAGGCGGAAGACATTTCACAGCCGTGTGTGGTGCGTGTGGGTTTCTTGTTGCTAGTTAAAAAATGCTTCGCCTTTTTAGGGTAATGGGCCGAGAATGCGACGCTCGGTTACTAGTCTGACCATGCTTTGATAAAAGAACACTGCTGCTGTATTGTCTTCCTCGCACACAATTTGAGAGACCACATTGCGAGATGAACTAATTAATAGGGTGATCACAACAAGTCGTTGTGTGACTAGGAAGCCTACGCTGGCAGTTATTAACAGGTACCCGCCAATAGGCCACTATCAAATTGTTCCAGTTGCACAGCGAGGATGAGATCGCCTGTTATGTGTGCTGCAGGTGAGCAGCCAGCCTCATTGCCCATCGTTAGTCGACTTCTACCTTTTGACGGGAAGGACCACAGAACTGCTGATGCTATACTCACCCTTTTTGGCACATCCCTGTTAAAGACGCACGATTTTGTCTCTTTTTTCGAAACGAGTTGCTGATTGAGTGTTCTATCTTTGCAATGGATGGGTGCTTGATTAGATTAGCTTGCTAATTTATAATCTAAGAGTGTTAACGCGTGTGAAATATAGATTGGTTCGTCGGATCGACCGCGAGAGTCCCAGTATGCATCAGCTAAAAATGTATCATGTGGTAATCTTTTATTTATTTATTGTGGAGGTGATATTACTTTAATATCTCGTTATTATGGTAGCATGATGTTTGCTTTCGAGTAACTACTTTAATGTTGCCGATGCTACGTAACAAGTAAGAATTTGTTCTTAGTAGCCATTGAAATGTCCGCAAGTTGCTATTTTGGAACTATCCGCTGTTCTGAACCTTTGTTAAGGCATTGGGTCTGTGTTTGACTGCGGCTTGGATTTACCTGATGTCGTAACCGATTCGCTAAGTCAAGATTAAAAGTTTCTATCGCACAGCCTTAACTTTCAATATATTTAATTTTCCATTTCCTACGCGAATATCGTATAAAATCCCTATGTTTAATTCGTTGATTCAACACCTGTTCTAATCACACTCAGTCCGAAATTCCGCGATCTTTCCCTAAGCAAACATTAGTGACCTAATTGGACCGATCTCTGTTGTGGAGCTGGAAATTAAACTTTACACAGGTTAACACCTGTTCAGCGTTATAACATGACGTTGCTCGAATCTGTTCCTGACGTCTGCGGTGATGGTATGTCAGTGGTAAATTGGTGTGGCCGGTCAGTCATTGTTTTAACGTTATACATTGTTTTAGACGCAGCGGTACCTATAAGACACGACTGTGAAAGCTTCTGTACTCTGCGAGCTGCTGGTCTCAAGTTGCTTTTAGATGATAATATGATCTAACAGGTATGTGTATTTCTTTGTCTTTGCTACTTTTGCAATGAAAATTGCGTCCATTTGTTCGGGCCTATGTGTGCCTGTGTGCAGTCTGTTAGTTGATGTCTAGTTAGAGCACGCGTCTCCGTTACCAAACTGGTCGTCTATGGATGACAAAGAGCGACACAGTAGATAAGAGCATTCTTTAAGATGCAAGTCCATTTTCAAGGGAAGAGCTGCGAGCTTTTGGTGTGAAGAGACGATGTGTTATCTCGCGAGAAACACGCTTCTGGAAGGCGATTGCTACCGACGAACCCGTAAGGGTAATAGTATTCATGATGAATGTTTACTGTCTTCTAATTTCCTATCCAGCAATCTTTGTCCCGAACGCAGATAACGGACGCATGCTAGTAGAGTGCTTTCAACTCTGTGTCTGTGATATTGTAGCATTAGTAAATTTCTTGTCGGAGTGTAATGTTGAAACTGTGGCTGCACGGTACAGAGAAAAATGACAGTGTGGCTAATAGCGGCGCCTTTTCTGTTCAGCGTTTGCTGCGGCACTACCCTGCTTATTTACTGTGTTAAGATCAACCGCTTGCTTGACGGTAGGATATGTAACTGACAATGTTTTGTGAATTAAGTTTAGTTAAATTGTTGTCATTAAGAGCAGGAAAGGTTGATAAGTAGACTTAGCAGATAGGAAGCATGGTATGTTAATATCAAATCTGATCGTAAAATGTAGGCCCGGCTGAGTACGCAATACAACTTCAAAATCGTGTCGCGGATAGGTTATCTTTCCTAAAGATTTACTGCGCGTTTGTCATTGGCCCAAAAATTAATACGAGCCCACGCTTTTAAAGTATTTACGGTTAGTAGAAAACGTCAGGAGATTAAGATTCAATTCATATGTAAAGATTAGCCATCATGGTAGAAACAGGTAAACTCGACTAGGGTAGATTCTGGCCATTTTACCAATTTGCTTTGTTAGATTCACCTCGTGTTCGGTTTTATAGGAAGCTTACGGCGTAATGTAATGGCTACTGCTTTTACTAGTGTGTATGAGTTACGCATGATAAATAGATGTAAACATGAATAGATGCAGCTTTTAAGACGACTGTAAATGTAAGATGTCCAATAGAAATATAGGATACGTTTTGTCCGTACTATTCCCGTTTGCTTAACTATTTTGTGCCAGCTTACAAGTTGCCGCACGTTTTCAAGTTCCAACAATCGGCGTGAAACGCGACACTAGGTTGCATTATAACCTAGCACCTATGTCCAACATATTTATGCTCTCTGCGAAATACTTTAGTTGACTTAATTCATGTTGATAAGCGAGATTTAGCGTCTACTATTTACGCCTCCGTGGACTCCATATCATCAGGTACTGGATACGTACGACGCAAATGAAAATATCCAATGTTAAGCAGACAGCTGAACGATGGCCGGCTAAAGATGAGCGATACAGGCCTCATTTAAATCTGACGAATTAATGGAGCACTTCTTGTATATTGCTTTGTGTTTCGTGTGTCCTCCTTACGCAACGAATACGCAAGTTCTCTCGAATTTATTTAAGTTGAACGTGACAAGTCACATCATGATAGTTTAATTTGAACGACAACGGAGGCTGCTGAATTTCGTCTGGCCGTTCCCTTTTCTCGACTGTTACTGATAGTTTGGAGCAACAACGAATGTGAGCCAGTTGAAGGTATCTCATGATCTTCCATTAAGAGACGACTAAGGAAGAAGATCTGTTTTAGAATCTTCTGTCACCTGTCTTACATATGTTAACTGCTAATAGGATGATTTTTCATTACTTTGTTCATAACGTGTAATTATGTTAAGCTGGGAAGTAACGAGTACGAAACAGCATAACCAAGTCGACTTTTCAGATCCGGAACTTCTAATTAAGGTATCGTTTCGTTCGAAAAGCATGCTTCATCAAAACCACATTAATGAAGATTGTCAAAACATTGCACGTGGCATTGAGAGCTTCTGATTAACGAACACACAAGTTACAGGGGCATCGATAAAAATGAAGAGAGTACGATTGTATAGTCATGAATCATACAGAAATCACCAGTGTAATAGCATCTTTGAGCACGCGTCTAGTCGACACATGAGCTAAATGCACAGTTGTCCACATTTAACCGAAAAAGTAAATCGCTGCTATACGTTCTGATAACATTTAGCAAACAACAAAAGAAGAAATAGCCATGCATATGTTGAATGACGCTAAAGTTATAGTCTAATGCAATAGCGCCCATCCCAACTGGCTGGCCGTTGCGTTACGCCGGTAATATCGGCCTGTTTCGTGTTAACTATTTTCAGATGATTCAAAGACTACCGGTTCCCTGCCGGTCACAGGAATCACTGAAAAGCAGCAAGTACGACACCTGAGGAGCGCTAGCTCTTCGGACGCGTCGGATTTTAGCAATGGATCAGAATTTATCCCGCCCAAAGTACCCAACCCCTTCTACTTCCGGGTACATTTAACGGCGGCCGACAAGATAAAGGTAAAAGGTTTAATGAGAATCCTTTAACATGAACGTGAACTCATATATTTTGTATACTACATCTTGGTTCGCAGTACAGGTGAGGGTTGTTTGAGAACGGCACTTAGATGGTGCAAAGCATTCATCTATGCCGAAATAGGATGTAGGCAGACAAATAAATCTGGTTTAATTTTTCCGGCTTGCTTAAAGGCAGCTCAGATCGCAGCATATACGTACGCGTCTTGATTTTTAGCTGTTATCACTCAGACGTTGGCTGACGAGGGATGATGCATTCGAGTTTCGGCTTATTCTTTTTTTACTGCGGAGCTAGTTTCGGGCCCCTAGAAAGGGAACAAACGCTACCATTGTACCCCAGAAATTAACCAGAGTAGCAAAGCAGCTCCTTTCGACACCAGGTTACCAATATACGTAGAGTCGAGCTGCTTTCAATAATTCTAGTTAGCTCATGTTTTTAATTAAGATAAAATATAGCAATATGGCAGCGGTTCCAAGTTTTGCGCATGCCGTAAATATTTCGCGGGATGCGAAAGTATTTTAAATTATGAAGAGATAATTGATACTCTAGATAAAAGTATACCTGAAAGTTAGGTAACATTTTATTTGGACAAGCTTTTTCCGACATTTTAACAGGGTTACACATTCTGTGAAAACCATACGTGGAAGCGCATGTAATTATCACTCATAGTTATTATCTCAAACTTTCAATGAAACTAATTTTTAAGTGTTTTAGGCTTCACAGTAAAAATAAGCTAAACCATACTAAACTACAAGGTCTGAATTGAATTCAGCAAAAATTGAAACACATTTAAATAGAATATAATTCTATTTATGGCGTGTTTGATATCAAAAACAACGCGGAGCAATAGTCAGCATTTCGGCAGTACTCACACTGCCTTAGCGAAGTGATGAGATTTGCTGAAGGAACTGGTTCATGAAATTAGGCCGCTAACTTTATGGGCCAGACATTATTTTACGTATAAATATAAATGGCGAAAAAAGGCCACCAAGTAGCAAACGCTTATAAACTCCTCCATTAGATAACAAGACGGAAGATCAATTTCAGTGGGTTTATGACATTTGAGTAGTTGCATCATGATCTGCTAATTCAATTCTGCGTTTACATTACAGACTGTAACTATGTGTCATCTAGGATGTTTAGCGTCAGAAGGCTAAGGGGAAAAGTCATAAAGGGTGGAAAAGCCAATGACATTAGAAGTTCTATGACCCGGTAGACATCTAGTATGTGTATGAAAACGTGCGCTTTACAGTGCTTGTGGTCTATTTCTTGTTTGTATGTATTTGTTGACCTGCAATGTTGGGGCGATCGATTTCTAAATTATCTGCTCGTCTGCAGGGCTGATAAGTTAAATTCAGATTCGACTAAGCTTGCTTTTTCTTCCACCCGAAATCACGAATATCCACCCTTGCTCAGACGCATCTAAGTCATTCGGCCTTGAGTCGCTCTTTGTTTCTTCGTTTCATTATACATAACCCTGCATTGATCTTAATAAATAATATATCGAGAAGTATTTTTAAATCCGTTAGAAGTCGGATAGGTAAACTAAGGTTTCTCGACGTTGTCTCTAATTTTTCTTTCTCTGGCTTTAGGTGGCGTTTATGACGGTGCTGATATTCCCACTCAGAGTGCTCCTTGTGTTGTTCTTCCTTTTCCTTACTTGGCTGGGCTGCTTCGTGGGACTGTTGGGATACTCGGAACAGGAACTCGAGTCCAAGCCCATTCAAGGCTGGCGTAGGCAAGTGTTGTAGAACTGTCACTATGGCTAGATTAATCAGAGTCGATGAGCATACCATACTTATTCCTGAATCTTACATAAAACATATATCCATCTCACGAATTATTTTTGATAGCTGGGATATTTGTTATTTACAAGGTAATATTTTTAAAGTAGAGTTCAAATCACTTCATTTTTGCTAAAAGACCATAAAGCTTCAATGTTTTACTTTGTCACATAAATACAGAAAGATGACTTGCGAAAAGATGCAATTAACATAATTTCGTATTGTTAAAAATATTCTTATTTATGTCATGTATTGCTAACAAGGTTAAACTTACTAGACAAGTACTATGATTTTTCGCGCAATAGGTAATTAGGCATTTTTCAAAGGTATTATTAGTCGTAGTCAAGCACGTGTCGTTGAAACAGGGAGTGAAATAACGAATCATAACTATACGTCGCATTTTTATTTCGAATAGTAAGTGCTTAACTTGTTAGATCTAGTGTACAGTGTAGATCTTTCCTGCATAATATTATTATCTGTATTTTATATCAACCATTTATTTGTTGGTTCGTTTGGTATAGCCAAATTTCGTAACCAATTCTGTTAATTTAGCTTTTCGTAGTACCTTTGTACGTAGAACTAAAATCGACTTTGCCGGTAGAACTCGAACGCGTGACAGATTTATGATCTGCTGTTTTTCCCAAAATTCTATAGAAGCCTGCCGAAGCCCCAGTTCCCTTGTTTTTCGTTTTCTGTTTCTTATACTGTTTCGCCTCAAAATTTGTCCACTTATTTTCTTTTCATTGATACTGCACTGCCAATGAGTACACCCTATAGCATTTTAGAGTAAACAAGGTATCAGTACGACTATTTTGTCTGTGCCATGAATACATTTCGCATGGGTTTTGCTATCATATAATAAAAATACTGCATTTTGATGCATTTCGCTACATAATTTTAATGTGAAGATTTTCCCTATCCTTATTTGTGCATCCTAGTTTGGCAATTAAATTAAGGGTACCATTAAAAGCCTTATTGATCACCTATATAATATTTCTTTTCGTTTAAGTTTTTTCGAGCCTAAAATTAAGCCTGTCCATATGCTTATTTCTTCTCTCGTCGCCCTCCTCGGTTTGTCACCTTCGGAATGCTGTTGCGGACTATCCTTGGCCTACTTATCCCGTTGATCCAACCGGTGGCACCATCCCGATAACTGCGTTTTACAACGGAAATACTCTCACCCCCGCCACTACCCCTCGTGACTGACCATATTCGCCGGATCACTTTTCGCAATTCGCAATGGGCAACGCCCGCAATCGTCATTGCACACTGAAAATTAAACATGATAATGTTCCACACGCAAAAAACACACATCGATACGCATAACGTTTCACTTATATCACATGTGTACAATGCCCTTTTTAATTGCCCCAATTCTATTATTTCTTTGCAAATACTTCTCTATTTACGTCGATACCGAAATCTACTTTTTCTACTATTTCATCCTTCTCGGGCCAAACTGTATCAACCTACCTTTAACCGTCTTTGTCTGCAACCATGTTGTTGCGGTTGGCGTTGTTGTCCGGGGTGGCAACCAATGTTGCATTGTTCTCTTCGTCTTACGCTCCTGGTTGTTGCCTCATTTTTGCCGGTCGCCATGCAGAAGGTATTGGCATCCACTCTTTGCAGGGGTGATGCGTCAGATGTTTGTGTGGGGTGGCCTCGTGTGGGAATTCAAGGGGAAAAGAGCCCCCCGGTCCCAAGCTCCCCTTCTGGTATGTGGCCCGCATCACTCATTCCTTGATGGGGTCATCGTTCTGCTTTCCGGAGGGCAGGCTCCCTGTACGAAACTCGAGTCGAAGTATATCCCGCTACTCGGAAGTAAGTGGCTTCCTTTATATGTATATTAAACTGTTGGAGTATATTAAGTCGCGCTGCATTCTTTTTCCTGCATGCTTTCGATACCAATAAGGGCAGCTCACAACCAGATATGTCTGACCCAAACTACGTTAAGGGAAACGAAGAAATAGGCAATGAGAGCAGGGAACGGTTGTGATTGCTATTGTCCAATGTTTTCTTTTCACAGAGATCTCAAAGGTACAACTCGGACATTTGCAAAGAATCTCTATACACCCTAATAACCTTTACTAAGATGTAAAAAGATTTCACTGAGCAGTTTGTTAGATCTAATGGTAAAATTACATGGGTGACGAAATTTAGAAGCTTACAAACACATATACGATAGGTAATTTGTAGTTTACCGAAGTGGGCCGAGGTACGTCTGAAGCATGATTTGGCTCATTTAATGTTACAAACTTCTCGACTCTGCCTTTGAAGCGTTGTCGAGAAGGTTACCTTGATTTTTTCTGCACGCGAAAACACATAACTTGCATGGTTTATTTTATTACGATTTATTGCACTCGGTCGACGTGTGGTATGCCAGTCGCCTTAAGTGGCTTGACTACCCAAAATCTGTATTTGTTAGCATACTCCGGTTGTTTGACGATGGTTGAAACGACGATGCTACTTGGAATTCTATCGCCACCAAAACGAATCTGTTTAGTGCACGACGTGTGTTGGCGTTTAATGCATTGTCAGACGTATGTCAGATGTGGTCAGGAGAGCCTATCTTTTGCTATTTCAGCCCGTAGCATTGCATCTTTCAAACTGATTTCGCCTGCCGCAGTCTCCGATTTGGTTCTCTCCATGGGTTTTCTAGCCACTTTTTTTTGATAGATTTTTTTTCATCCCATATATTAAACGTCAGATAGTTCAGCTAACTCGATTTAAGCAGTTGACGATCTGTTAAATAACGAGTATCCTTGTACGGCTGAGATAATAGGCTAACACTATTAACTTGATCTAACGGCACGATCCATCTCTCCGTGTTTGTTATTTGCGGTCACCATAACACCTTCCACTATGGAACCGTCGCTGTTCTGCATATCCAACGTTTAAAACGTCGCAAATCATGGAATGTTTTCTGCTGATAAATCATTATTTCTCCTCGCTTACTGTTGTTCGGTTTTCGCTCACGTCCGTTTTGACAACTGTCCATCTCCGTAATCCTGCATATCCTTTCTCGACGCGTTGCTCCGCGCAGAGAATGGCGCGAGAAAGTTCGCACGATGGTATTCTGGGCGTTCCGCACATTTCTTCTACGGGTAGAGCTTCGTGGAGAGCGGGCACGTCCGACCGAAGCGCCTATCCTCGTAGCTGGACCGCATTCATCGTTCTACGATTTCGTGACAGTAATCGCCAATAGTCCCGTGCCATCGGCCGTTATTCGAGATGAGACAGGAACCGTCGTTATCTCCAGTAAGCGTCGTTAGGTTTATCTCGTTTTAGTCGATCAGACAGAGAAACGAATTGGTGGCGTGCGCTTCTCACAGAGATCATTTTTATTTTTCACTTCTTAACAGCTGACTTGACTTCAGCTTTCATTTATAATTGGCGAATAAAATTCGAACATAAATCTTGTCCAAGGGAGGTTTATCAGACAGGCTTATAGGCAGCAGGTGTCGGGTTGAAAACAATTTTTGTTTATCACTAACCGTTAAAAGTAGGGCTTCTCAGAGCAGATAGGTGTCCTACGATGTACCATAATATTCGGGTTAGTGGACACTAGCGTTGCAACAGAATTTATTTTTGATACTTTATAGTAGCAATATCACTACTCTTTCCATTGTACAATAATGTCGATGTGCATTAAGAAACGGTGAACATTACTCTAAAATGCCTCTACCTTGAAATCCAATGAACCTCTTAAATGACTATTACATCTTCAGTTTTTTTCTTTGTGTCTGTGTCCACACACACACACACACAACATGTAAGTCCACTTATGCTCAGTTGCTTTGTACAGACCGAATAACGTTTGAGGTATCTCATGAACAATTGAGTTACACTTAGAGGAGGGTACAGCAGACATTGACCACACCAACATGCTAGGAAAAAAATCAAGGGAAGTCAAATGATTTTTGCTTCTAGTAGGACATTTACTAGCTGCATAGAAAAAGCTGATTACAGATGCTTTTTGAGTCTTTAACGGGATTTTGTGTTGGCTATTTCTAGCAATTCTACGTTTCATTCAGCCAGTGTTTGTGAAGCGAAGCAGCAAGGAATCGCGACAGACGACATTGTCCGAGATAAAAAATCGCGCCACTTCACAAGAGCCGTGGTCGCAGATTGTTATCTTTCCAGAGGGCACTTGCTCCAATGGTAGTGTCCTGCTCAAATTTAAGCAGGGTGCATTTAGCGCCGGGGTCCCGGTACAACCCGTGCTTATCCGATATCCCAACAAATTGGTAAGATCACTACTGAACAAACCCACAAGAACGACAAAGTTGCACAAAAACGCATTTTTGGTATTACTTTTTTGTTTTTACTGTTTTGATTATAACACTCCGATAGACGGCTCTTAGCCGCGACATGAATTCTGCTTGGAGAAATTCAGTTATAATCTGTAGTAACACAGTTAGTTTACACACATACTGTTAGATAATAAATTTCCTTTTGAGTTTGTGATATAGTCCTCTCAAAAATTATTATAAGTTGTACCAATGGAAAGATAATTAATGAAAGGCTTCAACTGCCATGAATCATTATAAACTTAAAATATCCACTGCAGTCTTTTTTACGAAAACACGCACTGCTTCTCTGTTTGCTGACGACGGGTGTATTTTTAAAATTCCTAAAACTTTCTTTTATGCTCTATCTCTACTATATATATAT